AAAAAAAAAAAAAAAATAATGAAGAACGTCGTTTAGACAAATGCTTCATATGTGGAGAACCGATCATTGAAGGAAATCCAGGATGTAAGGCACTAGACCATACGTATCACATTGCATGCTTTAAATGCGACAAGTGCAGCAAACGACTAGCTGGATCATCGTTTTATAATGTCAACGGCAAACCGCTTTGTGAGAGCGATTACAAAGTAAACTATAGCTTTAACTAATATTTAAATATCTTTTGCAAAAAAGAAAAAAGGAAAAAAAGACAGCTGTCATCTGTTAGATACTCCTTTTCTTTTCAGAACAACCACGGCTAGGTGGCAATTAATCAGTGAAATTGGAGGAGGGGGAACAGAGCACAAGAATAGGAGTTTAAAAGTGAGACAGAATAAGCTAAGAGAGATGACGAAAAGTCAACAATCTTTTATGCTCCTACAAATATGTGTTTCCGGTCAATAGGGCCTGAAAAGTCGGCTTAACTTGCAAAACATTTTATTCAATCTTCCAAACCACAGCCAGCAACAGGAGGCCAAAAGTTTGATGAAAGTCATTAATGGCAATAAGTACGTGAACATATTTCAGGATACGTTGGAAAAATGCGCCAAGTGTGGTGAGCCGATCACTGAAAGACTTTTACGAGCATCCGGACAGGCTTATCATCCGCATTGTTTTATATGTGTAGTATGCAAAAAAAGCTTGGACAACGTACCCTATACCGTCGACTCCTCAAATGAAATTCACTGCATACCCTGTTTCCACGAGTAAATCACTTTTTTTCTTCCAGAGCATTTTTTCATTAAAAAGCCTTTAAATTTTATTAATTTACAAATTGAAGTTTTTATCTCTACCGCTACATTTCACTGATGGGGTTCTATTTGGAGCAAGAGAGAAAGGAGTATATTTTTGGCTAAGAGAAACGGCTTTGTTTCAGAAAGCTACGTTGTAGCGCTTCCTAAAAACACTTGAGTTGTCCACTGACTACTCACATACTCTGTAGTGCCTTTACAATTCAGAAGTAGTGGTGCGTGTCATGCTAAGTTCGAGCTAGCATTAGAGCCACTGTTGAACAGAGAAAAGGAAATAAAAAGGAACTACTTTGGAGGAAAGCGAAAAGTTTTGAAGAGAACTGCCGCCATGCATCAATAAAGGAGTAGGAGTAAAACAAAGATACTTCCAAATTTATGCAAATTGGTAGACTCAAGCGGACTTGACTTCTATTCGTTAGCTACAAAAAAGAGTTCTTGCGCACAGTGCTAAAGAGTGATGCACACCCACTGAGGAAGAACAAGGACTCTTCCTTGTCTTCCACAAATCCAATAACAATTTAAGAGGCAGCCAGCCCTTGACAAAAAACCTCCAAAAATATACATCTTCCTTCTCAAAAAGTATTCCCACCCCATTCACCTAATACTATCTTGAAAGGACATAGGGAGCAGCACAGGGTCGGCCTTTCTGAATCTCCTACTCACATCGAGGGGAAAAAATCGTCAATCGCCTAGTAATCGAGAAAAAATGCTACGTTACTGCTAATAAAGACGACTACTTGCACTAAAAAAAACTACAATGTACTAACAGCTGAAAAATTTTCCAGCCGGTTCGCTCCACGATGTGCAGTATGTTCCAAACCAATCATTCCCAAAGAAGGCGAAACAGAGTCAGTTCGGATCGTAGCAATGGACAAAAGTTTTCACATAGAATGCTACCGTTGTGAAGACTGCAACGTTCAACTAAGTTCAAAGCTTGAAGGCGAAGGGTACAACTGGATGAATTTTTTCTCGCTTTCATTCACGCCAAATTTTTTAAGTAAAAGAAGCTACTTATCAGTCACATTACAATAGCCAACGTCAAACAAATTTTAGATGTTACCCAATCGACCAGCATCTTTACTGCAAAAACTGCAGCGGGAAGCGATTAATTGCACTGTCAAAAGCTGCATAGAGCTATAAACCAGCTACGACCCAAGCACGTATTCTTACCACTACTTTGTCATTACTCGCTTGTTATTTTAGTTTTTCTTATCAAAAGAAATGGTAATGTAAAGATGTGTAATATTAAACTTACGGCCGCTCAAGAAATACCAATAAAGTAATATGGACAGTTCGACCTCAACATCCTGCCGCTTAACTCTCCACTAAACAGAAACTCTCACACATTAAGCTCCTCCTTATCTGACGTCAAAGAATTCAGACAATAAAATCACAAATTTAAACCACTCCAGGAACGCACACCCAATGTTGATGGTGCAGAGTGAAAACTCAGTAAAATGGCTCGACAAGTCGAAACTACATCTTTTACCACCAAAAAACAAAGATGAAATTACTCAGCAAACTTCCAATTTTAAAATACAGATAAGTTGAAAAACACACTTAAAAAACAATTACAAAACTTATACAACAATAAAATCAAAGCGAATTACACATGTGAACAATTTTAAATATACCATAACGAGGCTGGAAAGAAGGAAAATAAAAAACCCTCGCAAAATTTTTCAATGCAAGTCGAAAAGCTTTAAATTTTAAGTCATAAATAAAATAACCCGCCGGCAGCAGGTAGAAGAGTGTATGAAAGATTGGAGATTGGGATCTACAAAATAAAGCTGCCAATGGCAGACTAATTGATACGAGAAATACAAAATTTCGTAGCCTTTACCAAGTGTACTCTTTCCATGACCCAGAAGTCACAATCATGACTAGCAGCAATGAATAATAATGATAAATTCAGCAATTAAAAAGGACTTACACTATCACTGAGCAAAACCGAACAGCAGACACAAATAAAATATTAAAACCAAAGAAGAAAAACAAAAATACTCATCCAAAAGTGCCTAGTGATGAGCACTGATGAAAATAACAACTACGAGGAATAGTAACAAAAGGAAAAAAGAAATAAGAGAAAGACACAGAAAACAAATTTGAAAAATGAAGGGAACAGAAGCTAAAGAAGTAAAAAATCGAAGCAAGGAAAAAGTTGAAGGCACTGCCCATTTAACCCAGAAGTTCGCTATCACCAGAAAGATCACAGACACGTCAATTTCATCTGATTCATTTTTTCTGGAAGACGTTTATGACTACGATTACGATGAGAATGCCCACCAATGCGATTTTTTTCCAAATGCAGATTATGATTTCGCATCTTAACAATTAGTATAAAGTCATAAACCATTCACAATGTAACGATAAAACCAATAACATCAAAATAAAAAATGCATCTCAAAGTTGAATTCTGTCATAGAAAAGGTCTACTGCCAATATAGCACAATCTTGCACAAATACTATCAATGAAAAATCTTCTAAAAAAGCTCACCATTAAGACCATAAACCATTAAAAACAAACCTTGTCGAGTTCCCTAAACTGCCGAACAATGTCCAAAACATCCTAAAAGTAAAGTTTTAAACTTAAAACTATACCCATCCTGAGTATTCGAAAGATGAGTACCAAATACCTTTTTTCATACGAAAAAAGTTGGAAAACGGAATTAGTACAAAATATTTTTAAGAAACAAACCCTTATGAAAACAGTATCAATGTTTGCTAACAACAAAGCTCCAATTCCCAAAAGGGCAATGGTAAAAGTAACTCCGAAAAATGAAAAACCAATTTTTCAAAAATACAATTGATGACTACAACCTGATATTTGGTTACTTCTAGAAACAAAGACCCATACCTAAAACTGAGGTAGATACAAAAGCTTCAAAATTATAAGATCAGACGAATATGTAAGTAAATAAATAATGATATACGTGAATGTATTCAGATATTTACTTACTCTCTACCTAGTCATTATCTATCTGTTTAATTACCTACTTATCCTTTCATTTTACAGAAAGATGTCAACTCTTTCCTTAACCTCATAAGACATCACTGTTAACTGCGCCGCCCTACTTTTGAGAGCAAGATTCTTGTCGCAGGTCGCAAGGTACACATCAATTCCATCTTGCGCTTGCTCACCTGAAAATGTTTTAACTATGAAAAAAACCCGAGATTAAAATGTACTCCCAATAATAAAACACTTCAAATCGAATAAAGATCACTTCTCTACCACATTTTTCATACTCTTTTAGCAAGACCAACAATAACAACATGGAATTTACTATTTGTGACTTGGGACTTACTTTTCATTTTTGCCGCTAAAGCACACTTGAGGACCATATCGTCACCATCATAACCATGGCCCAATTCATGAACGTATTTCTGATGCTACAAATGAACAATTTAACAGATAAAAAATTTTTTGGCTTTAAACATCAATTATAAAAAACCACTTGTTCAAATTAGAAAAAACCTGAGAGGTCAACAAAAAGAAAAGTGCCGCTCGACGTAAAATGGCCTATAAATAAATATATAAATATATAAACAACTCCATTTCAAGTCACACATTTTCTTTTTAGTTGACCTCTCAGTTTGCATTTTTTGCCTACTTGTGGCACTTGAAACTCGACTGTGGAATTGAAGAAGTTTAAGGCCACTTTAAGGTGTGACTTAACGAGGAATTCACTTTTCCAGGTTTTTTTCTCGCGGCTTCTTCATGCTCGCCTAGACTCCACTAATCAACAAAATTTTAAAAAACTCTGAGATATGAAGGGGAAAAAGTGTGCGATTCGAAGAATCTGAAACATCACGCAAAGCGACCTTTTTACTGCTCACATCTCAACTACCTCATTTCCGCAACCAACTAAAAAAAGTTAGAAAGCGAATGAACCCGGCAGGTTACAAAGTACAACAATATTAAGAAGATGCTTTGTAAACCTAAAAATGACTTACCTCAAAATAGTTCTCTAAATAAACACAATCATTTCCTTCTTCACAAAACTGCAACAAAAAACTAATCACCCTGCGAACTTTAGCCGAGATTGCAGAAGTACCCTGCAAATCTGACCAGATGTTACTCAGCGAAGTAACGAAAACGCATGTGCCAAAGGTTCAGCTTTTAAAAAAGAGAAATGAAAAATGTACGAAGCGGTATGTAAACAACCTTAATTTTAAGGCCATCCAATTCTTCTAGAACAATGTACGGAATCAGCAATGAGATGCCATCAGCTAAAACAAAAAATTTTAAAAAAAACAACAACTGATGAATTTCAAACAAAAGTTCCACTGAAATTCATTCTGGATATATGCAGACGCTCTTACAATTCGATTCCAAAAAACTATCGCCACTGGAAATTTGTCCAGTCCTCATCCCTCAGTTAAAAAGACGAAAAACTAGGTGATAAAGAAATTTCAAAACTTCGTGTACCAATAGCAGCCTGCTTCAACACTGAAATATCTTGCAGTAACAAACAAGTGTCAACGACAATCAAAACACAAGTTCGTTTGGCCCTCTGTTCCCAGAAAGCAGTTGCATTAGCATGATTCTGCAAAGATTCAACATACAACAATCAAAATAGAAACGAGATGTTAAAACATCTTAACTTTTTTAGAACTGTCGTGCTTGCTATTGCCCTGCAGCGCCAATAAGCATTTTACCCTGCCCACTAAAAAAGCGCAAGCAATGAATTAATTCGCTATCTGTGCGTTACATACGAAGCACACAGTCTGGACCAGCACTCAAAAAATATTTCAATGCTGATACACCACAAAAAAAGAAGGTTCATTCCCAAAAAACAAAAAAACTGACTTTCATGAAAGAAGAAAATGAGAATTCAGAATACTGTGAAGCAACTCCGACAGATTCTTGCCGATAAGCGTTTATTTCCCCAACAATATCGACCTCCATAGGCTCATTATTTTGAGATACCACGGCTGAGAAATCTTCTGAAATTATACAGATTTCTTGACAGAAGATGCATCATAAAGCTAATTAGTACAGCAAGCTGAAAACTCGAACTTCCTTCATTATCATCGACCTCCATCTGGGTATCGCTTGAAGAAGCCATTCTAGGAAGCCTTATGTAATCCTCCAACGTTTCATGCTGGTCATCAGTGCGTTTACGATTAGTGACTAAAGCTGTGTTTTTCTTTTTGTTTTTAGACCCTAGAAGTGCAAAAAGAAAAAAAAACAATTTATTATTTTTTTTAAACCTAAAAAACGCTTTTTACATAAAATGCCCTTACATCACAAAACTCTCGCCAAATAAAGAAGTGTAAAAAAAATATTACAGGTCTTGAAAAACCTATAATCTCAACAAAGGTAATGCAAACTTTTCCAGCTGAAAAACACCTTTAGTTAAATGCAAAAACTGCATTTATAAAATTCGTTACATAACATAAGTAAAGTAACTGAGATCGCCAAAATAAAACTAACTTTTTGAGACACTGATGGAGGAATTGGATACGTTGTTAAGACTCAAAATGCTTGGCATTTTCCAGGTAGACTCTCCAGTTACTGAATTGAAGTAGAAAATCCTTAAAAATAAAGTTAAAAGTAGTAGACAAATCAGAATTACGAAAGCAATATTATAATAATAAAATAAAGATGATATCCAACAAAACTTCAGAGGCACATTAGATCTCAACTACACAACCTAGTGACAAATAATTTCTAAAAATATTTCTTTTTAAGGATTTTCGACCTGGCGATGTGGCTGAACAGAGGTAAAATACCCCAAAAAGTCTCCAACTCCTTTTTTTAAAGAAAACCTATTTTAAGAAGAATGTAAGCATTTGTAGAATATTAATTTGCCACAAGTTAATGCAATTCAATGTTGCAAACGTTGCAAACAGTTCGTAGCCCTGAATTCCAGACTGCAGACAGCAAAAGAAGTCCATTAAATTCTAGACTTCTACAACTAGCAGTCCAATTCAAGACTCCTACTGTCATATTAAGTTCCTAATTCCCACTGCAGAACTGATCACTGAGATGACTGTTAGGGAGCGGAAAACTGAGTTCCGCCATTTGTGAATATTCCTAAGCAATAGTTGCTTAACTGTAAAAAAAGGTTATTAATGTACTCATAAACTGCGCAACAATTCCACAACTCAACAGTATGACCTAATTCAGCTGTTTCTTTCTGAAGTGTTTTAAAAAAACTTTTAATTCGAAATTTAACTAAATTTCTATATCCCCAACTTTTGCGATAAGTAACGCCATTCAGACCAATCCAACTTAGGCCGCGTCTTTGATAAGCTATTCATTGTCTTGACCAGCTTTGAACCAACCCACTTTTCGCGACAACTACACTTTCATTACTGTTGTTAACTTTGAAGTTCGACACGTATGAAATTTATCAAATGGATTCTTCCTCTCCAAAGAAAACTAATCTTCACCTGCCCCTCCCCCCTCTCCCTGCAAATTCACTTCCACAGGAAGTGCCTCAAACTAGAAAAGTTTTATGTTGATTCGCGTTCCCGATCCCAATTTTTTTATTTCTCAGCAAACATTACCTTCTTTAGAATGAAATCGCATTCCCTATGAGTGGATACAGCAATTAAATAGATAAAAAAATACGTAGCATATCGAGATTTTCTTTATGGATGAAGTCGACAACGTTCCGTACTTTAATTCTTTTCCTTATAACTTTAACAATGAATTTATCAAACACACCAAACAACCCAAAGGCAAATTCTGCAAAGCGGCCCACTGAATCCTGCATTCTCAATAAAGAATTTCAACTAACTTTCCATTATGCTTCTTCGATCGGAAAGCGCTCCACGGATGGACCAAACCAGTTATGTGGACCCTTTCTCGCTTAGATGCAGCCATTTAAAAAAAAACGATGGAAACAGAGTCAAGCAAAGACCATGGATTTAAGTGTATTAGATGAACCAAGATGGTAGTACAGCAACACGTCAGTTCCGACCGCAGCTTTGTTTAAAATAAGCAGTAGGTGAAACATGGTGGATGGCACAAAAAAGCAACAACTGAGCCACCAAGATAGCAGGGATATCACTGTACACGACAGGAAGCGCACAGAGAATAGCACAAATTTACTAATAACATTTACAATTCTCTGGTAGCACCAACAGGATAAATAACAGACCACTTAGGCTACTAAACCATGCACGTATAAATATAAGTACATATATACATGTAGCCAGATGAAAACAATCACGTCTCGAGCGAAGAAAGTAGAAAGGGAACAAAGTCCGCCGAAACAACTTTCGAAACTGGCGTGATGCCAGTTCTCCATTTGAAGCTATTTCAATAGATATTTAGAATAGATTTTAAAACACGTTTTCAAATCTGTTCTGAATATCTACATAGAATTCGTCACTTTTTGGGACGTTTGCCTATAGGGATCTAGACGCCGTAGTTTTCTGTTCTAGGAACTGTACACGCGGTTGTCGGTAAAACATCGCTAGTTATTCCCGAGTTTTTTGTTGAAAGGGTATACGTATTTTTATTTAGGGTTTTGCAAGGAAGCATTCAGATGGATGGTTATATAAACAGTTTTTTTTGTTTTTTTTGGCTTGTTGGCTTGGCTGAAGCGAAGGTTGGTCATCCAAAATCGGTGGCTAATGCCCAAAACTTCTCATTTTGAGCTATTTCCCTCATTAGGGTTAGGAACACCATGTCTTAGTCTCTTGATCCCCAAAGCGAGCCCTCCCTGGTGACCTATCTTCGTTTGCTGTGGGTTTCGTTTTTTTTTTTTTTTTGTTTAAAGTTGTTGTGCAGGACAAAGTGCTATGACAGCATACCTGTTAGTTGCTAGTTTTGTGAATGCTTGTAACTTTTTTATTGTAGTGGAATTAGAAATGGTACTGAAAGATACTACCACTGCAGTTGTCTGGAACTTTGACACATGTTAATCTGCTGACAAAAAATATTTGTAGTCTTCAACATTAACAGCTCTCTAAACAACGAGCACAAATGATACTTCCTTTTCGGTTCGTGCTAATTTTCTCTGGCCAGCCGGTTTTTTTTATAAGTTAAAATTTGTTTTCCCTGTTTTCTGGTCCCAGCATAGTTGTTGCAGTTTTAAAAATGAGACATCGATTATGCCTGAATTTTTGCAAGCACAGTAAATGGAGTGAAGAAACTCAGTATTAGTTTTTCTACGATTACGCAGGCTTTATGGGGTTTCTTGTGTATGCATAGTTGATTGTAATCGAGGTTTAGTAGGTAATCGGAGAAGATGGAAAAGAGGAAAAAAGAAGATGACGTTGGTCTATGGACCGACGGCTTCACTACCGGTCATTCGTGGACAGACGTTAGACTGCTGTCGGTATTTAGGGTGAGGCTCAATTTTCTCTAGTTTGTATAGTAGGTTCTCGGACAGTTAGGGAACGGTATTTATTTGTTGAGGCCTGCTTGGAGGGTATGGAGGTTAATATGCGAAACGTTCAAAGGCGGAGAGACAGAATGTTGAAAGCAAAGTTATATAACCAAAAATGAACTTAGTAACTACCTGACGGAGCTTGGTAACAGGAGGAACCACGCGCACTTACAGGTACACATGAGCAGACTAAAAGCTTTTTTGAGAAGGCGATTATAATTTTCTTCTGGTATTTCCCAGAAGACCTCGGTGCTATACGGCTTTCACTGTAGACAACTGGGTAGCCTCATCGTTCACAGTACTGATTGAAGCTTTACTCTCAGTTGCCGATCTTGACTCAGTCACTTGCAGTGATGCGACTGCGCGAAGTTTTTTCTCTAAAACTTTGCCACAGTAGCACAACACAGTTTTAATATAGAAAACCCCGCTTAAAACAGTCTTGTTGGTTATCTCACTACTGTAATTACTCAGAAACGGATTAACTGAAAACAGAACTAGGTACCAAAAGCAATGTATTACCAAAGTGAGCTTGATAGACAGTGGACGGAACTGAGTTGCAGAAGAAGCTGCAATGGCTTATGGTTAATATACAAAGGTCTAAGAAACTTACTTCTTTGGAGCCTTTCATTATTACACTGGACGAGTTCTGGCTCTTGCTGCAAGCCGAACTCTAACTATGCGATCTGATTGGTCTTTTTAGAGGGTTCCCTAGATCAGAATCAAATTGCGATTTTAGTTGAACCAAAGTTGTCATTCTGCACTCATTTGGTAAAACAGATGGTATTCGCGAACGGGTCTAAGTTTTCTAAAAAGTTGGTAGCAGAGCATACTTAAAAAGCAGGATACGCTAGATGTATGTTATGGGGCGTTAAACACGTTGTTGGTTTCGAGTTTTATGATTTGCGGAGGTCAAGGTGTCATTTTTTAGGGCTGAAGGCATTCTGAAGCATCGTTTATTTCAAGAATACTCGAAGACGTCCTTCTTTACCTAAAAGAGAAAAATCTAATAATTTAAATTTTTTAATGAAGTTATGACTTGTAATGCGTCTGTCAAGAGAGCATTTTCTGCTATCGAAGGATTTGAAAGTTTCTTTTTTATTTGTCTTGGTAAGTATTGTACTTACACTTTTTGAAGTTTACACTAGGGACTTTAAAACGACCACGAAATACTTGTTCTTTAGATGGATGTTGCGGGGAAACTTAGTAGTCTGTAATTTTGCGGCTATATTTGTCGACCTCTTTTGGCGCAGTTTTTGCCGTTTACTGGAAGCGTTTTTTGACTTCCTTGTGTTTTACTGGCTTACGTTAGGTTTAAATATAGGGCAGAATGTCGTTCCAGAAGCGTCAAAGTGTGTCTTCTAATTACTTGGGTTTTCTCTGTAACAATGTCTTTATTGATGGTTTTCTTTATGGTAGCGATGCTACTCTGTGGGAAGGCAGTAAGGTCGGAAGTGAAATGGAAGACTCAGAAATAGAAACACTGTACGGAAGGAAAATTAGTATATCCTTTGATAAGTGAACTGGTAACTTTTAAAGTGCTCTGTACGACATGAACAAGCTGGAGCGTAAGTTACCATGCTATCAGACCTTTAGGGACACTTTTAATGACTGACTACGCCGCATATTTGACTGGCAAATTCCATAGCTCTTTTCTGATGACTAAGTTGAAGGGTCTTCAAGTGGTCGCCACTAGAAAATCTGGCAGATATGCCAGTAGCAGCCGCAGCATCTTTGCTAAATCCTTGATCATAGTGTTTAATGCTTATGAGCTGACAAGAAGCGAACAGCCAAGCAGATAATTTCAAGAACAAGTATATAAAATGAGTAGATGGAAGAAAAGTACGGGTGTGCTGTAGAAAAGAAAGTAAACTAAGTGAAAATAAAGCAGTAGTTTGCTGCTTTGCTAGAAACGTGTCTAAACAGAAGCGTTGTATATGAGGACGAAGGAGGGTCGCCAAGAAAAAATAATTGTGAAACTATTAGAATTTTGTCAGAAAGGAAGATAGACGGACTCCACGTCTAACTTTGGTCGGTTGTTCAATTCAGTGTCCGTTTAGCTGACCCTGTGATAATACGTTTAGGCATACCAGCTTTCTAAACCAGCTTTTTTTACCATTAACCTCAATTCAACTTTCTTTACAAAGTAGTTGATCCAACACGACTTATCTTAAATAGTCACAATCTCGTACTCGCATTTTTTGTCAAATTCTTTGTGGTCTTGTGCTAAAATTTCTTCATAGTTCTGTTCGACAACATTTCAATACTTATAAAGCATTTTATAGTTGATGGTGGTCGCGCTTTGTAACTGCATGGCATTGAAAATATACCCTTCTAGAGATCACAGCTTGTTCTTTTCCGGATCATTCTGATACTTTACCAGTGCTTCAATTGCTTTCTTGATTCTTTTGGAGAAGACGGTGCGTAAAACTCATTTCGAAGAAACCTTAAATCCTTTGTTCTGGATAATCTTAACAACTGCTAGTTGCTTTAGTCCAATGGACTTAAATAAAAAAAAATAGCTTCAAATGTAGGGTGGAGCAACTGCAGATCTTTTTGGCACAGTTGTACAAACACATGTTCCGGAAACTTTTTGCCGACAGCTTGTGCAGTGGATCGATAAGCTGTATGTACACAGTTGAACCACGGCGATTATATAGAAATTTTTGGGCGCACAGCATATACTATGAAATTCTTTTGTCCTGTGGACTCCATTTACCAGTTTTTGATGGGAGTTCGAATTTGCGAAAGAACTCCGGCAGTTTTGACAAAGATGTGGTAATCGCCATCCCTTGTAGGTCCTAAAATATTCTAATTTTGGAACGAGTGGGTTCCTGAGATCAACACCTTTTATGTTGAGTTTTGTAAGGGCACGTGAAAGTCAGTTAAGAAATCCACGTTGTTAAAAGTTAAACTGACAGCCGATTACGGGGCAGGTTTTGAAACATCGGACAAAAAAAAACGGAATGAAGGCCACTTGCTACAGCTCTACCAGACAATACTTTGTTATTAACTTACGATGACCCATAATCTTCTCAACAGACCCTTAAAAAAATGCTTGATTTTCAAAGCAGCTCTTTGTGGTCTTGAGAATTAGCTGGAGATGGTTTCACCATTGTAAAATGTGTGGAATAATTGTAAAAGTAGTCTTTTCAGCAGCATAATTCTTCCCGGCACGTAACCCCAACTTAAAAAGGCAGCTGTCATTAGTTTTTAGAATATTATAGAGGAGAAATTCTGCATATCTTTTTTGAAAAATATAGGGGTATGTTTTTACCAATATTTATTTGAAATTTTCCTTGTTTTGTACCTACGCAACTGCGTAGCAAAATTAAATAATTTAATGTATCAAATCTCAAAGGCAGAGAGAATGACAATCTCAAAAAATTAGAGGTTGTTGAATTACTTTCAGGACAAGTCGAATTACAAGTCTGCAAAGACAAGTATGTCGGGCAGCAACCTGGCAGGTTTTGCAATTTTCAGAGGATATGATATGGTAATAACTTACTTTTCTGGGCTCTTTTTTTTGGTCTTACTTGTCGGGGGCCTCGAATCAAATAGATTTAAAAAATTTTGAGGTATTGAATGAAAAAATTGTGCCACTTTAAAATGGCCACATACATATGTAACTCAAAAAAGTCCTACAAATCTTGAACTTACAAAATGAAAATTTTCTTCTGAACCAGATTTAGCAAATTTTACACACAGATTACAAACTTAAAAACCTAAAAAAGATCACAGTAACATAGAAAGAAGAAGACCTTTGCCTTTTGACACGGATAGAAAACGCGTCTTAAGATATTTGAAGTATTGGTAGTGTTTCCATCAATGTCTTCACATTTCGTATTCACAACTGACCGATAGATCGGCTAACAATGTGTTTAAATATCCACAGAAACTAGCGATGTTTGAATGTTTTTAAATATCGCCAAATCTCTTCTTCGGTTTTCTGAACCTAAAGTCAGTTTTTACATGCCAGTTTGATCTAAGAAGTGGTAAGTTCAGGAACTTCAATTAAGACATTGGCTGTTTAGCGTTGAAAGGCTCTTCAGTAAAGTTGCCAGTTACAACAGAAATTCCAAATTAAATCACCATTTAAATATCCCAAAGAAACCACTCAACATATGCTGTTCTTTTCAACGAAATGAACATCAAGGATCGACAAGTAAGTTGAAAAATTAATTAACCAGAGGTGAAAAAACCAGCAACCTGCGACCTTTCAATGATTTGGAAATTACTTAATATTAGTGATGCTACGAGTCGCTACAGGCCTTAGTACTCAACCATTCAAAAACCAACTACTTGAAAGAGGTGTAAGGAAGCAATGAAAGTGAAAATGAAATTTCTAGAGGGATAAGACTACACGCGCCACTGTGGATGCATTTGATTTTTAAAAAGCAATAATCATGCAGGTCTTTTAGCAGACCAGAAAGCTCATCAAAAGCGGGCAATTTGCAGTAGAATATAGAGTCCAATGACTGATCTAATAATAAGTGGACAAAAAAAAAAAACTAATGACTTTTTGATATGTTCCGATTCACAACGAACTCGTTGCAAGACAGTTCGGGGGATGCGAGTTCAAAATCAGAAAAAGACTTAGAACTGAACTTTTCCAAAAACTGCTTTTCATCATCACTAAGCTTATCACCCAACTTGAAAACAGCAAGTAAAATTTCCATCTTCTTTGAAATGTACAATTCTTCCGTCAATTTATGGAGGCGATATCCGGCTTCAACCTGAAGTTACCTGCGTGCAAGTTAAAAACCTTTAAAAAAAACCAATTCAAACATAAAAAACTTGACTAGAAATTGACAAAGAAAAGAGAAAGATATTATAACATTCAGCAGTGGATTAAATTAAAAGTTTACCTGCACAAGTTCCTGCCGCAACATTGCCGGTTGCTTATTAGCGAAAAAAGCAACAACTTCTGGAGTCCTAAATGCTTCACTAATTGCTGCCCGAATGGCCTCAAAGAAAAGAAAACAAAACAAAATTAGAAAAAACAACTAGTAGAGGATAAATTTCCTATTGTCCTAAATTCTTAGAGAACCTCTAGTAAAAGACAAATGATGCTCAAAAGGATCTCCCTAATTTACGACATTTAGCTTTGAAAAGAAATCTTTTGTGTGGCATTCAAGTTGAAAACTTTGTTTAATTCCCCATTCAATTTCGTAAAATCTGTCTACATGCTTTGAAATCAATGCATGTAATGACATGTGAAGAAATTTCTGAATTTAATTTAGACAACAAATATAAATCATACATTAAGATTAGCAAAGAGAATTACCAGTTTAGTAGCGGTAACTTTATCCGTTAAACTGATATCTCCACACTGCATCCTATCAAGGGTTTGTTCCAGTTCCTTGAAGAAATTTTTATACATCAAGTAGGCAATCGAAAGAATAAAGCAGTTATCTACCACTAAAATACAGGCAACCTATCACCAGAAAATTATTTCACAAAATTTGAAAATGTAATTTTTTTAAAATGAACTTCAAAGATCTTTACAATTGGCACCTGTTCCTTTCCTTACCTCAACCTGACTAGATCCTCTTAACAAGTCTAAACCCCCCAAAAAATTCTTCGCATAAAAAATATTCCATGCTTCTTCAGATGCGTTTGAAACAACAGTACTTATTATACAAAAAATGTTTCCAAACGTACGTTGAAATAACTGATTTTTCTCCACCACTCCTTATTTTTGCAGTCGCGTAACAGAAAGCAGGCGACTACAACATACAAAAACGGTCTTATAGAAAAAGCCAAAACGATATTTTCCAAAAATACTTGATTAGACACTGAAAAAAACCTTTTTAACACTCATCACAAGAACCTTTTTTTGAGACAAATCTTCTACCCTCTTGAAAGCCAAAAAAACTTCATTCTATGCTACGAAAAAAAACCCAAGACTGAGAGCTGAATATGAAGTTAAAGTAAACTATTTCTGAGAAAAAAAAAAAGAAATATGCTTATTGCGTACCTTCAACTGATCCATTGAGTCGGCTTTCATCTCCGCATATTCATCTTTATCAAATGCATCCCTAAAATTGTTAGTACAATAACGCATTTCAGAATGGGACAACGGCAAATAAAATTAAAAAGATCTACAGATATAACCATTTATCACACTATAAATCAAAAACCCAAATAATATGAACTAATAAATTTAGACGACACTAATGCCAATGCAATTAATGAGACCCTATTTAACATTAAAATTAAAATGACAAATTCAAGCCAAGCACTCAAAAGTGCTTTAATAAAAAAATGACAGTAATCTGTACTATTTACAATTCCCAAAAATTTTTTGCTTATTTGGTGAAAACTGGGAACTCACTCATATTCGCAAGAAATATTTCGAGTATCATTAAAATATTTGTTTTACAAACGATTTCACAACTACAGCAAGTTTTTTATGCTACTTAATGTAAATTTACTAAGCTCCTATTTCAAAGTTATCATTTTCCGCCAACTTGTCTGAGGAATACTTGTTGCATAAACTAGTAGTATACGTGCTTTTAAAAGTAATTAAGTTTTGCATATTTTAGGAAATTTATGCTCTTGGCTATTGAAATCTTACTGGAATTACTATATCAAATATTTAGACTAACTCTTCACCCCAAACATCACTTGGTCAGTATTCTTAAAATTGATAAGAATTCAAATACTCTAACTAGTTAACAATTAACTCTGTATAAAACTCAAGCATTTAATGCAAAACGAGCAATCCCATCAATCAAGACTTGCCAATAATCTAACTCTGTAAACTTTTCTGTAATCTCTGAAAAAACTTTGAGCCAGCTCTTAGTCTAGAAAAAGCAGCGCCCACAAAAATTCCGGATCCGGTTTTGAATAACTGCATTCGCCGCTGCAAACTAATTAATTTACAAATTCCAAATTATTACGGAAAATAACGACCAATGAGTGTGAGAAACACCTAAAAAAACGAAGAATTTGCTTTCACAGATTTCAAAAAACCACAGTCTCAACTTCTCAATTTACTGAGAAAAAAGCTCTATTTCTTCCGTTTCGTACCAAGCATACTTTTGAAGCTAAAAAGGCGATAACAAATGTACTTTTAGGCAACAATAGATATACGACCGCCTTCCACTCCCCACAAAAAAATGGCAGTCAAGTTCAAGTTGTCTAAAACTAACTTTTCTTTCTCAAGGTCAGACAACTGTACCATCACTCTCTTCAGCTGTTCTTGAATATTTAATATTAGCGCCTGGTCGGTCTTGCTCATATCTTCAAAATGAATCTAAAAAGATTAGAATAAATATACACATGAAGAAATGAATTTCGATAGTCCATGAAAAGTTCACCGCCGCTATGTTGTAAAATGAATGCATTTTAAAATTAGAATCAAAAAAAAAGTAAAAAACACTTTAACAAATAAATACTGTTTATCGGATGAGAGACTTCATAATCAATCACCAGGAACTTAAAAGTAGCATCTAAAAAGCATGGTTGAACTTTAAAAAAATGCAAAAATTATTTTTTTTAAAAAATTAACAATACGAGGTTTGAACCTAAAAAAAAAGTTGCTGACGAGAAATTCTGTAAATTTTTCTGCATTCATCACACATACAGTTTAAAGATTGGCCAAAAATACGGTTAAAAAAATTACCAAACCATGCACTTTCGGCACAAAAAGACGACAGCGGAATTGACTTTTCAAAAAATTTCTATAAGCGTAGCTGCTATTATAGTTACGTAATTGAAAGCGCAGTGGTAGGGTACTAGTTTTCTTCCGACCTTTTTTTTTTTTTTAAGCTGTCGAGCAACGAAGTCCAGAAGGTCCAAATAATTCTTAACTGTTTAGTCGATTTGCGGGCTAAACAAGTTGTGATATTAATGGAATTATGCTTTTTACACCAGTATTCCAATACAAACATAACACTTAAACACCTTCGCTAGGAATTATGAATTACTAAAATGATTCTTGCAGACGTGCAAAAAATTTACAGCTCAGTGGTAATTAGTTTTTTGAACCTTTATTAATCAGTTAGCTTGGTCCTCCTTTGATTCTTACTTCTCAAATATTAGAATTTCTATCCAAAATGCTATATTCCATGTTTTCCCACGGAGGCTAAAAGATGTTGCGGTTTGACATAGCGCTGTATTTTTTTACATCTACACACCTGTTGAAGTGACCGTTTTTCCATGATTTAACCGATCTAGTTTGATAATGCTTAGGTGGAAGAACTGGACAGTATACAGTAAAGCAAACTGCAGAGACACCCCATGCGATATTAGCACGATCGATGTCACTTAAGATATCAGTCTAAATGGTAGTGTCATTGATGAAATGACTGCGAGCATAAATATCTGTTGCTACAGTCCTGGCGTTAACGAAGAATGAAATCCTTGATCTGAAATCAACTTTTGGCATTGCTCCAGTCACAAAATACGGTCCCTGACCATTATGTTGTGACAATGATATATTAACTCTCCTAAAGTTGGTCAGTTTTCGGCTTGAATGATCCCGAAACGTTTTGCGTAATCAGTGCAGGCATCTTTGAGGGTAGCAGAGCAAAGCAAAGACGATAGTTTAGACGTAGGTACGTTTGGGACTGCAAAACTCTGGATGCTGGACATGTACATTACACTTGTTCTTATATACATGTTTTCTTGATCATCAAAAAAAAGCAGCAAAAAATTAGAAAAATCCTATTCAGTGCTTTACAACGGCGCCGCTGTAGTAATTCCGTTATCTGGAAGTTCTATATATATGCCAAGCGATGAAAAAGGAGTTTTCAAATACGACGTTAAGTGGAAACGCAAACAAGACTGTCATTAAAAAAGAGATATAAGAAAAAAAGCAAAACTTGAACGTCGTTGTACGAACGGTGGTTAATGGCTGTTAGAGATGACAATAACAACGGAGAAATTCGCACGCGAATGTGAGGTTTTCGGCCAACAATCGGATGAATCTACCAATTTTGCAACGATGGCAGCGATACAAGGCAGAACAAACCTGATCGAACTGAGATAAGGGTTATTATTTCTTTCTTTTTTGCCGATGCCTGTGATGATCCGTGGCAAACGGCAAATCTACTCTCGTTGGAGCCTTCTACGTCTTGTTGTTTTTTGATTATTCTGGAATGATATCGAAGGATTCCAGTGATTTACAGACAAACTACGTACACGAAAGATTAACAACTCAGAACTCGTCTGAACGCCTTCGAAGTCCTGATACTGTACCAGAGTTTAATCCTCAGAAAGTACGCTTTTTATGATTGGTTCACCCTTACTGTGTATTTTTTGACCTATATTTTTAAACTAGCGGATGAAAGAATGTGAAGGTATTGGATGACGTTATAATTTTTTTTCAAAAAATTCTAAATACGTTTAAGAAAGTTTCATAGCAGATGATTCTTAACTTGACCACTTTTTTGATTGAAACTTCGGATTAATGGTTTTTCCGTAGTAATTTAGTACGAAATTGGCACCTTTTACTGTGCTCTTCGAATGGGTTTCTTCAAGGTCTACTGAAATCCGTTCCTGCTATTGCTTAAGTTTACGCTACTTATTTTCAAAAAGACTTTCTAAATTTGTTTTGTGAATAACTGTGAGAGTTAAATAATTTTTATTTATCTTTACTTCGGACAAGTCAAGTTGTTTTTATAATAAGTAAAAATTGAAGCTACTTATTTTGAAACTTTTGCCATAATTCCACTTTTCAGGAGGAAAAGCGAATGTTGAAAAGAGGGCGGTCTTTAGGTGCTTTACTTTTTGGACGCAAACCGAAAGTAGTTCGTGAAGGTTCGATGGGGATAGGTGAAGCCAGCGTTCATCATGCGTTGGTCGTCATCTTTCTTGAGTACTTTGCTTGGGGGCTTTTAACTGTGCCTGTGATAAACGTAAGTCTGTTTTTTGAACACTTCAATTTACTTAATTCCCGGGGACCACGGAAAATAAAGAGAGGCATAAGAGGAGGATGAGTATCGTTTTGAGGAGGGCTCTTTTTAAGCTTGAAAGTATCGTACAGTGTAATTTTGGTAAGACAGTTTACTTTGTAATTATAAAGTGTTGTATTGGTATCTCTGTTGGCACTGCGCTTATTTCAGGTTTTAGCAGATACGTTTCCTGCAAATAAGTTTCTAATGAATGGAATAATATTAGGTATAAAAGGATTTCTTTCGTTTTTAAGTGCTCCATTAATTGGGGCTCTCTCTGATACATGGGGACGAAAGTCGTTCTTGCTACTTACTGTTTTTTGTACGTGTATGCCTATCCCGTGCCTAAAAATAAGTCCATGGTATGTTACGGTGCTTGTTATTTGAGAACTTTCTTTTGTTTTTAGGTGAGAATGCTAAAAAAGACGATTCCTTGGAGTCGTCTATACAAGTTTTTCGAAACTTTGCTGATAAATATGGGAATCAACTCTTTTTTTAAATAATCAGCTTTTTCCTGATTTTTTAAAATTATCTTGATTAGTAAAGGACTTTTCAAATCACCGAGTTCTTCATATTTTGTTTTCGAAACGAGTTTTTTAAGTGAAAACTACGTTATTTATATCATCAAGTTTTTTATATGGAACATCGGATCTTGAAGAGTTTTTGGTCGTATTTTTACTTTACATAAAACTTAGATATTTTAGAGTTTAAGCCTAGCTTTACTGTTGATGAAGAAGCCAAAGCAGTCCCAGTTTTTTGGTGTTTTTTCTTTGTTATTTTTTTTCTAGGGAATTAGTTGGGAATTGCTTTAGAAAGTATTCCACAGTAGTGTCTTTTCTAAATACACTGCGCAAGCTACTGGTCATTTGTTTTATCCTTAAAAAATAATTATTATATAGTCATAATCTTCCAATTTTGGAGATCTAAGTCGTTTGCAGGTGGTATTTCGCGCTGTTTTCTATTAGCGGACTATTTTCGGTAACATTTAGCATCATACTTGCATATGTAGCAGATGTAACTGAAAAAACAGATCGTTCTGCAGCTTACGGTTTAGTCTCTGCGACATTTGCGGCATCTTTGGTAACATCACCAGCGCTTGGTGCTTGGATTTCTGAAGCATGGAGCGATGAAGCGGTTGTAATGCTTGTAAGCATTTACCTTTGCGTTTCGGAAGCTTGAATTTTACATTATTTCGTGACTAATATTTTGTCTAGGCAACTGCTGTGGCAGCTCTCGATGTCTTGTTCATTCTTGTAGCAGTGCCGGAATCGTTACCTTTGCGTTTGCGACATTCTTTAGACTCCATGTCGTGGCAGGCAGCAGATCCGTTTGGGACGCTGCGTTTTGTTTGGGATGACCGATTAGTCCTACAACTTGCGGCTATCGTTTTTCTTAGTTATTTGCCGGAAGCAGGGCAATTTTCATGTTTCTTCGTTTATCTTAAGCTTGTGGTTGGATTTTCTCCTGAAGCAGTTGCAGCATTTATTGGTAAATTCCTTGTCTGAATTATTCACATCATTGTGCCTCTTGTATTATAGGACTTTTTGACTATTATTACTTTATTAGATTTTAAAAACAACCTCTTTTTCAATTTTCTGCGCCATCGTAAGTTCGTTTTTTTATCGTTTGATGCAATTTTTTAGGCTTGGTGGGAATCCTATCAGTTGTTGCTCAGACAGGAGTGCTTTTAGTTTTAACCCACACGGTGGGAACGAAGCATACGATCACTTTGGGTCTCTGTTTTCAATGCGCTCAATTATTTTGGTATGTACCTAGAGGACATTAAACAAAATTTTTTTTCAAATACTGTACTTTTTTAGTTTAATTTAATGTTTCTGGTCCTTACTATTATTATGTTACGGAATTTACTCAAGGTACGGGTTAGCATCAAGCTACTGGATGATGTGGGCAGCTGGGCTGCTGGCTGCAATGAGTCAGCTAACCTATCCATCAGTGAGTGCTTTTGTCAGCATACAAAGCGATAGGGACAGGCAGGGTACAGTTCAAGGTGTTGTTAATGGGATTCGAGGCCTTTGCCAAGGTGGAAAATAGTAACGAATAGCGTTTTGTTTTG